GGAAGAAAGAGAGAGGGAGAAAGAGAGGAATGGAGGGGGAGAGAGGAGAGAAAGGAAGGGAGGGAGGGAGGGAGGGAAAGAGGGAGAGAGAGGGAGGGAAGGAAGGAGGGAGGGAGGAAGGGAAAGAGGGAGAGGGAGGGAAGGAGGGAGCGAGGGAAGAAAGGACGGAGCAAGGCATCACCTAGAAGCAAATGAAGTGCTGTCTGACTCTCAGATGATGGAATTCATGTTAGTTTCATTAGTATTTTCTCAAAAAAGAACCAGTGTGAGTTAAAAATGTGATATCCTTGTTGAAATCTGCATAATCCACTTACCTTATTATCCAGTTTTCTAGCTTCCATTTCAAACAAGACAACTCTATTATCCTTTATTTCTTCTGCTGAAACCTATGAGTAATCAAGGTAAATGAAAGAAAACTCTAGGGATTCTGATACATTCACAGACTAAGTACTTTTTAAAAATATAATAGTGTATAAACTCTATACTTACATAAATGAATTCTAAAACATTAGCAAGAAAATGGCACTACCAAGAAAGATTTATGGCTTGATCCCCTTCCCACTTGAGAAGGGCCAATCTCTCTACTTTCCTTCTTTTACTTTGCTCCTTATTTACACTTTGGGTTCCTCAAATAGGAGAAGCCACACAATGTACATACTCGTGTGTCTCACTGATTTCACTAAACATTATGGTCTCTGCATGCACCAACTCCAAACAAGGAATGCAAACACTGTGTACTGAAATGTGTATTAATAAAAAAGGAAGGGAGGAATGAAAAGAAAAATAAAAAGAGAAGAAATTCTTCTTGAATTGAGCAATGTCCAGTGTTGTAAAGTATTGCATTATGGAAGTTTGTGCTAGAATAGTATTTCATTTGGGTGAGAAAACATTCTACACAAAACGGAACAAGTTCACTGAGTATTTACAATATCATAAATTTTACATAAGCCACAATTAAGATTAAAATGTTGTGCCATTGTTTAGGCAAAACCCTCTAGTCTAATTTTTAAATTTCCCAACACTTTTGATTTTGCTTTTTGCTCTCTTTTTTTTTTATCAGAATTGTTTTAATTACTGAAGAAAACCCTGCAGGTAACAGTCAACCAATCAGAGATAAACGCAGTGAATGGTGAAAATTCCCCTCTCCCCTTGCCTCCCTTCCACCAATCCTATTCCCCAAAACAAACCACTCAGAGTTCAATAGATATTTTTCTGGACTGTGCAGTTAAACAATGAACTTTTGAAGTCTATATACGAGGTGGGAACGAAGGAGGAAGAGGGGAGAGAAAAGGGGAGGGCGATTGTAGTGTGTGTGTTATTGTGCATGTATACACACAAACACAACATACACACATTATCCAAGTTATATAAAATTTAAAAACAGAAAGAGATCGTGCCACAATGTTCCATAATACGTATCATGGTTCTTTTATATTTACTACAATGTTCCCTTAACCTTTTTCCATGTGAATATATTAAATTCTGCCTCAATCCAGTGGCTGTTGATTTTTCAGTTTGAATTGTTCTATTCTCCCTACTGCTAATATTTGTGACAATTTGTTATCGCACACATACTTTAGCGAGTATCCCTGTGTGTTTTTGACACTTGGCGAGCATTTCTGTGGGACAAATAACTGCCACTGCCCTTTGTGCATACGCATGCTCACCATTTCCGTAGTCTTTGGTATTTGGTAATAATCATGCGCCCAGATGTATGTGCTCAATCTACTCAAGCTTCTCCCTTCAACACTAGTTTTTGTGACTGCACACAGTTTTGCTGATTGAGTAGATGAGAAACTGCACATTCCTAAGTTGCTAATGAGCTAGAACATCTTTTCCTGGATTTTTTTTGGCTATTTATATTCTCAAAATTTTGTCTTAACCTGTTTATTATTTGTAATATTCATATTGACTTTAATAATCCTTATAAATATTATTCCTTTACAATATAAATTAGAATTTTTTTCATTGTCTTCTTCACTGTGCATAATGATTTTTGGAAAATACAAGATTATAGTTTTTATATAGTCAAAAAAAGGGAAGATTTATCATTACCTATTTTCCCCCTAAAACAGCAAGTCTGCATTATGCAATTTCCTTTGTAAATACTGTTGTCCAAACTGGAGCTTTCCTATTGCCTGAGAATCTACAGCCCTGGAAGACTAAAGAATGCCCTCTGAACAAAACTATAGCTCCCTATACACTGAGAAGCTTGAATACATCAGACCTGTGAACTCTACAGACTGAAACATCAGATCAGTTTTGCATTCAATGTGCAACTATTCTGTGTGCAAACAAATGAGGGGTTACCATGTCTCAAAGCAATTAAGCTAACTACCGATAATAATCTCTATCCCGTTAAAATCAACTCTCCCTGTAGTGAAACATTCTTATGTCTGGAATCTAACTAGAACCAAACAACTGCTCAGATAAATGTTCCTGATAACTACAAAAACCTGTAAATTCAGTTCACACTCAAGCAGCCAGGTTTCCACTCTCAGAGATAGTTATAGTTAGTGCTCTAACACGTAGCTACCTGGACAGAAACTTTTGAAGGTACAGTACTAAAGTGTGTCGATGGGTACCTGGAAGTCTACATTATGATAAGACTCACATTCATTTGCTCAGGGCTAGTGGCCAGCAATGGAAAATCTGGTTGGAGAATGGACAGAACACAAGAATGCAAAATGACAGTGAACACTATATATTCAATGGTCATGTTATAATATCCATTTGGAATGCAACCCATTACAGAAAGTTTCTGTGTGTTGAGAGGACTATTTCCTTTGTAGACAGCCAAAACGATCCATTCAGAGTATTAAGCAGATTCTCTCTAACTTGGGGACTACTTCATAGGAGAGGGGCAAGTATCACTAAGGTACGCTTGACCTCGACAGGCAACTTAAAAGACTGACCTGAGAGATTCCCAAACTGTATTTTTCTCCCTTTTTTGGCACAATACACTTTCCACTTGTGACTACTGTAAGGCAAAGGTGGGTGGAAGCCAACATTCAAGATCAAATGATAAAGCATGACACAAAATATCTATCTGGTTTGTATAATTTCAGGACATCCAATTACGCTGTATCTTTTGGGGTAAAAGACGTACCGTAATGCTCCCTTTCCCAGCAGGTTTGCCATTTTTAAGCATGAGTGGTCGAGTGAGCTTCTTACTGGAAACGATCTGTTAAAAGTGGGAAGTTACACATTTTACTTCAACCTGTAAGTTTGTAAAATGAAGTTTCCCAAAAAGAGGAATATAAAGTTCACATAAAGTCATTAGAAATATAAACAGTAAGTCCATATTTTAAAGATTTAGTCAACATAAAACACTGAAAATATATTTATACATTTAAAACTGGGAAACTTCCAAAATTCCTATCCTTGAAGAAGCAATCTCCCTATTCACTGGTTTCTTTACTAATTCTGTACTTCAAAATTTGACTTCTTTCTTAAAATGGAAAAAGAGGGCTAGATTCTCAGGTACAACATCAGAGCCATAACCCCTCTAGATAAATTGTAGACATCAGAAAACTCCATAAATGAGATTTACTTTTTCAAATAGCATCCAACTTTGATATTTTCCTTCCACTAAATGTCATGCTTTTCAAAGTAAGAGAATATATCTTTCAAGTATATCATGAGTAATATATCATTATAAAGATACATCCTTTAAATGGATATATCACTCAAATTCATCAGAGTTAAATTCATTCAGCTACGCTGATGTTTTCCCCAAAATTTCAATTTTCTCTTTAATACTAGTTGGAAAGTTTTACAAAACTGATCAATTTCATAGTATTCTTTGAGACACAGAAAATACCATGCTATCTTAACAAACAAAAAATAAATTCATAAAAGACAAATTTCAAATGACAAATGTCACTCTGAAAAAAGGTGACTTCTCCTCCCTTTTGATGCCTTTCTCAATTTATACAAGTGGTCATGATTTCTCTTGATAAGCCAAGTGCAAAATCCAAGCTAGAAGCAAAATGTGAGCCGCTAGCCATGCCCTCCCCCGATCAAGCGCATCATTCACCGAGAAGGCAGAAAACATGACAACTATAATAAAATAGGGTGAGAAGCAGTAGACAGTGGCAAAGTGAGCTCAGAACAATGGCTCTAAGCTAGCCTTGAGGTCAGAGAAGGTTTCTGGGGGAAGTGAGGTTTACAGAGACACAGCTTAGGTACAGGAAGAGCAGTCCACATAACAGGGTGTGGTTAGGGGCCTGGGCTTCCAGTCACGGTAGTTACAGCATTAGAGACGTTACTATTACTTCAATAGGACTGACAACATAAAAATAATAAAATCATACTGAACTCTATTAGGACAGAGGTACTGAGATGCCCAATGAAGTACTCCTGACTCAAAAGAACAATCTTTGCCAGAAACACACGATCCTTGCCCTTAGAAAAGCAAGATAAATTTTATGTTCAAGCCACCTGTACTAATATATAAACTCAGTTTAAGTGATTAATGCTTCACAACTTTGAAAATTAAACTAATGAACACTTATCAAAACCACTATTCTGGGGTCTAATTTTAGACAAAAACAACATAATGGTTACTCATACTCACTTGTCCAAGGGTACATTCACATTCTCCTAAGAAGTCATCATCACTCAGCTCAATAGTCTTGTTGTCAATGTCATAAATCCCAAATTTCAATTTCTGAACTACTTCAAAGTAGTAATCAATGATGAATGTCTTAGAAAATTGGGGATTCAAACAGTTCTTAATCCTTTCAGTGCGGTCAACCTACATCATCCCCAAAAACAAATGTAAAAAAAGGTTTCTTTGAATCAAAGAAGCACTGGATTTTTAACACTACTTTATGTACAAAATATAATTAATTATGGCATGAAAACTAAAGGATGTTTCTGTATGTATATGAATAATTCCACAGTCAAGGACAAACTCACCCAAAAAAAATTACATGAATAGAAGAGATATTATCATTCTTCACTTTGTCAAAAGAGAAAATCAGACTGCTTTTCACCTAAAGTATACATTACCTCATACCACTGTTGACCACTCGTGTTCAGAAACAACACACACAGAGGGTCCGACTTTGATGTTACATCAAAATCCAGAAGGTTGTTACAAGAAATATTCAGCTCCACCTTCGTGACACATTGCGCAGCCATCTCTTGAGCTGTGAGAAAACCAAGGAGATCAGAAAACAAATGAAATGGTGGCTTTAAGAACCACATTCATTTCTAATGGAACTAGCTCAATTCTTAAGCTTTGTTAGGAGGCTTACAGAGCAAATATGCTACATGAGATAGGTTCAGGGCATCCCAGCAATACTGATTTATTATCTTGTTGAGATAAAACTCTTTACAGTAGTGAATACAGCTTTTTTTAAGATGTCAATACTCACTAATCTTTTCACTGTACTATATATTTTACTGCTCAGAAAAAGACCTAATATTGAGTATTCACTTAAATACTGCAATAAAACAGGTTAAAATATCACCTTAATTTCATTTTATTCATTTATTTAATGAGACACTGGGTGGGATATTTTCTGTTTTCAAATAATTTTGACTGAGACCCAAATATGGGGAAGAAATGATCCATAGAGTCCCATCCTCCATTTCTATTCCCTGCACTGCAGAAATAACTCTCAATCTGGGTTGCTTTGTTGGAATCGCCTCTGGGAGCTCTCAGAACTACTGAGGCCAACACAAAGAATATTTAATTAAACTGGGTTAGGGTGAAATTTGGGCACCAGTTCCTTAGACCAGCAGATGAAGATGACAAACCCATGCTACAAAGAGTATCCACCCACTTGCTATGGCCCATCTTCTCCCCATGACTTGTTAAGAGATACCAGGGTTAACTGGTCATAGACCCCTCTCATTCCCAATCCCTAATCAGTACATGAAAAGATCCAGAAATAAGGCCTGTGATGGAGGTTGACCTTGAGAACGGATCTGATATTTACAGTGAGCTGCTTTCTTCCCCACAACTCAGGGAGTAAAAGAGGATGCAGCTGTCACCAAGAAGGGGAACAACTCATATCTTAATGAAAACCCTTCAAATACTCTAATGGACTCAAAAAACCACCTATTCCCAATGTGTGTTAAAAATCAATGTAGTACTAGCAGTTAAGATCCCAAAATGTGAGGTAGGATGGTAGCGTGTGCCTGTAAATCCAGCTATTCAGGAGGTTGAGGCAGGAAGTCTGTAAATTTTAAATTAGCCTGGGCAACTCAGTAAGATTCTCTCAAAATAAATGATACTTGAAAGGAAGAAAGGGCTTGGGTTGTAGCTCAGTGGTAGAGTTATTTCCTAGCATGAATAAAGCCAGGAGTTTGATCTTCAGCACCACAAGGGGAAGAAAGGGTTAAGTGGTAAAATACACACTGGTCTGCCAAATGGACAAAAGATACCAAGGCTAGGAGAAGCCAACAAGCGGTCAGGGGGTAACAGCAAGGGTGAGGCTTGCACTGCTTGGGGGCTCTGAAGGATTCAACTGAAGCAGGGATCCGGGACACAACACAGTGACAGGAAAGATCCAGACCTTAGAAGGCACAGCAAGGACGCTCCTTATAGGCCCCAAAGGAGATATAAAGAGGAACAGAAGGCTGGACAAGCTGAAGGGGAAAGTTCAGAGTGTCCTGTGAGCCAGTCTCCAGGAGCAAGTGGGTGGGTGACAAGGCTCTACTGCAACAAACCAGAGACCATGGAACAAATCGGGCTATTTAAAATGTCATTTATCAAATCTCTTCAAATTGAACAATGTCCTGCAGTGTACAGTGCTGTAATATCATTCCAAAATGATCTCTTTGTCAAGTCATAGGCAAGATTTAGAATTCTATATCAAAATCAGCAGTCTTCCTGCCATAAAATTTAGAAGATCAGTGTTCTCTTTTGAGAAGTACAGTTATTTGTATTACTAGTGTTAATATAACAATGATTTTTCATCTTGCCTTATTAAAAAAATGAAAATATAGGGGCCGGGGAGATAGCTCAGTAGAATAAGTGCTTGCCTGGCAAGCGCAAAGGCCTGAGTTCAATCCCCGATTCTGCAAGAAAAAAAAAATTTAAAAAAATATATATATGAGTGCTAAAAACATAGTAAGAAGTGTTAAAAAATGAAAATATAAAAGTGCTAAAAACATAGCAAGAAACATTTAAAAAAAAAAAGCAGAAAAACCACAAGCACAATCAAGATAGCACAGTCTGGGGATATCCACACTCAAGAAATCTCTGACACACTGCCAGAGACCCTGTCTAAAATCTGTGTGCCCTTATTCTCCTCTTCTCCCTCCATCTCTTACTAGTACTTCTCTCTTCCTCTTCCCAGCCTGGAAACTGAGCATCACTTAAAGCTGTTAAGCTCCAGTCTTTGTACCCCAGCTGTCCCTGATTTGATCATATTCCTCTCAAGGCTTCATGCCTTGGGCTGTCATACAGTACAATATCCCCAAATCTGGATCACTCACCCCTGCCTCTATATATAAATCCACCTTTTCCCTTTTGCACACCTATTCATTGCTGGAGAATCCCTCTCTTTGATTTGCTCCTTTCTATTCAGTTTCCTGTATCACAGGCTCCAGAATGGGACTGCCTGAGTTTTCGACTAGATTGTATCACTTAATGCGTAATCTCAGCAGAATCATTAATCTGCTTTAGACTTTTCTCCTCTTCAAAAAGAAAATGACCATCCCCACCTCAGAGAGTAGTTGTAGGAATTAGACAAGTTAATATAATTTAAATGGTATCTATAAACATGGAAATTATTGCTATTATTTTAGTAGAATCTGCCTCTAGGATTTAATCTTCTCTATCCTTTGTTTCATATTTTTATAACATTCCACAATGCTTTTCCTGGTTATGCCAATCCACATCAAGCTGCTTCTTCAAATTCCTGCTGCACTCATTGGTGTTAATAGAATGCTCTCATCCCATATGAGACCTCCTTTGGAGTAATGTATACCTGAGCTCAATCCCGCATCTGGTGCTAGATGTGAAATCAGAGACGTGACTTCAGCTACTGTGCTGGGCTTTCCTCATCAGAAAACCTGGCGATGTTACAAGTAGAGGTTTCAATCTAGCATGTGCCAGCCACCTTGGTTTGCCTTCCTAGTATAGAGTCAGTGGAATAAATGTCAGCTGTATGATTATTTTTCTTTTGCATAAAGTAGTTGAAAGTCTTGGATGTTACACATCATTAGTGGATATGGAATGAACACAGAGTGTTAAAAAACTCCCCAAGAACCACAAGGAGAGAATTCTGTACTAACCCATCAGAAAAGTCTTTCTATTTCTAAGGATAGGGAGAACTCAACAGAAAAAGCAGATTTTATATGCAAAATCGGTCTCACATTAAAGAGGGACAACATACCAGCAGAGAATCATTTCTTCCCCTAAAAATGTTCAAACAAAAGCTACAAAAAAAAAAAAACCATGCTGGGCACAGCAGTTTATTCAGCACACTGCTGACAGCTACATTACTGCGCTGTTGCCATGAAGCAAATTCCCTTTCGGGCAGCAGTGCGCCTGCAAATGACAGACTGGTGCCTGCCTTTTACTTAGAAACTGACTATGGCTTAACGGCAATTGGAAAGAAATCACATAAGCAGCCAGGTCTAGAACTGTAATGGCAACATTCATAGAGCTGCTCCTACTTTTCTAGAAATTACTCAGTACATAAAATGCAATGTTTTAAAAGAGAAATAAGGGGGTAATCCCTACTGATAAGAAATTTCCTCAGTAGGGGAACATAAGGGGGTAATCCTACTGATTCTCAGTAGGATTCTCTCGAGTCCTATGAGCAAAAGCTGGCATTCTCAGCGGGGTCCACATCTCTCTCTAGCTTAGCCAGGCAGCTGCATCCACCTCTCAAAGTCCTTCACAGCACCCACTTCAACTGACAGCTGCTCAGGAGAGCCGATGCTGACATCCCTGAATTCTGTAGGCACAGCCCCCCCATACTGTCACTTGTATGTGTGGCTCTTCATCATTTCTAACGACTGCTAGCTGAGAGAGTGACTAAGTTTCACTGCTTCCTCCCGTCTTCCAGAAGCATGAGGCATGCAGTACTCAGCAGGAAAAGCACTAGCTTTTGAAGCCAGTGTACAGGGTACAGATTTCTTTCCCACTGTTTACTGCAGTGAATCACCTTTCCCAAGTGAACCATCAGAACCTTAATTTCCCCATCTACAAAGTGGGAATTTAAAAAATGCCCTTAAGTGTGTTTGTAGCATACTCTGCATGTATGAGGCACATCATGGTCTGTAGCAACTATTTTATTAACTTCCCAAATATTTTTTTTCGTGTCTCAGTACAGGTCACTGTAAGGCATAAAGTAGTAAGCATAAAACATCTTTTTCATCTTGTTTATGAAGAACTTCTTGGAATAATAATAAAAGGACCTCTGGAATTTACACAGAATTAATTTGCCAAATTAGTCAACCCTGACTACAGAAATTTTCCTAAATCTTCTCAGAAGGTTTGTTTACCTGGGCTACTGTTCTATGTTGGTACACGAGCAGGGGAGCTCCGGCCAGTACCAGTGAGTCATCTGGACTCACACAACTGACAGGAAGAAGGCATGCCAAACTATCAAAGCCCTTAGGAAACATCCATCAGCCTTCCACTAAAAAATGAAAAAATCAGTAATAAAGGAAAAATTCTAAGATGCCCTAAATTTACAAGCCCAAGGACGGAGGAAGAGATAAGAGATGTCAATAAGCTAAGACTTGGGCCAAATCAGTAACAAACTGGTGCACATTGCTTCAGGTTTGTTGAAGTCCTGTCTCAGGACCCGAGAGCATGATCTTTAGGACCACTGTTTCCGGCTTACAGCCCCAGGCAAGCAGCAACCCAGACTTTTCCTCACTGACAGCCCTCCTCTCCCAAAACTTTGCCATCCCCTGTCTCTAGCCCATTTATCTACAGCCAACAGAGGTTCCACATAAGTAATGAATTCATGCTTCCTTTCCTCACAGTTTTCATCATAAAACACTATGGCCTTTTGGACCCAGCAGACGTTCTCACGTTCTTCTTCCAACTGCTCCTTAGCCTTGCTGCTGATGGCTCAGGGAGGCTGTTCTTTTGCACGGGTGCTTTCAGTGGTTGCTGGTGCTGCTGGAGCTCAAACTCCGGGCTTCATACATAAAGTGCTTGACTACGGAGCTCATC